TCGGGTAAAAAACGAAACCCAACTGCATGGTTATGAGATGCACTCCTCTCCTACCGCGCCAAATTTATGATGCACCCTCTATTTTGCTGCATACGCTGCTGATCACGACACAAATTACCCGTCAAGCACCGTCTTTACTTTCCTACATACTGGAATCAGCAGTCGTCTCACTGTGACGTACAATCTCGCCATCTGGCAATCTTACCACGACTAGTGTAACCGAGACTGCATCAGATGCTAGTCAACCAGAAATATTCCCCTTGTTTTTCCAACGTTCCATCCAAGAGAAATGCGAGATAAGTCAAATTTCTTCGGCATTTTACCTATCCCTCAGCGCGCCTATTACCGCTGCTCTTCGATTACATCACCTGTATGTGGGCCTATATAAGGAATTAATCATATAAGACATCTCAACAGCGATAGATCCAAGCGGCAAAGATCTCTGTTATCATACTAAGAAGCGACCAAACTCCGACTAAAAGTGAAGTAGAAAATGAGCTAACAAGCACACTTCCAGTGAAAAATAAAGTAAATTACTTACCATACAAATAAAACACTTCTGAAAAAGAAAACATATGGAGGAAGTATTACTGTTATGGTCAAAAGATATAATCCAGTGGTGCCCAACGATTAATTATGCGAGCGGAGATGGAGGAAGAATGGGTGCAAAGCATCTCTGCGAAATTTTAGCGCAAAAAAAGGCCTTCAATAAATTCTTCTCAAAAAAGCAAGTTTTTGAATACATTTTATGATAGAAGCTGATGGAGTTGGTGCACTAGTGAGTGGCATCTACCTGCATGCCAAAGACACTGATCCAAAACGGTCGACAAAAAAAATCGATTCCTCAATAAACCGTTCTGCTCAAGTGCTAGTGTGCCAGCATGCCAGGTAAGCTGTTTTTTTAGCATGCTTCAAACAAATCCAGAAACAGCAAACCACGGGTAGCTTTGCAAGCGGATAGCTGCTGCAGCTGCTGGCAAAAGTGCAGGCAACGGGGTCCCTGCTGAGTACATCAGTCGCTTACTGAAAGTGAGTGACGAAAATCAAATAACACTTAACGGACACAAAAAATCCAATTACTGCTCCATTTGGACAGGCCGCCTTCTGAACCACTGTTATAATGGGAAAAAAAAAAAGAAAGATGAGAAAGCATTTCTATTTATCTTACTCCAAAAATTTGTCTATTGAAAAAAAAAGATTTATTGGTCGGTCAAAAATCGGAACAGCAGTCATTGTTGAGCAGTGAAACGCCATTCTTTTGCATTTAAAAATTAATACGAACAAACTTACTCACTTTGAATTATATCGCGTGGAAGCATACATGCAACTTGTCTGAAGAAACAATCGTAAATGGATGCGCCGTGAAGGAGGAAATCAAACGCTTCCTGCTTTGATGAATCCAAAAAATTGTTTTGTATTGTTCGTACCAATGTTCGTCGCGCATCTTTCACCTACACTACGAACACATCTAACTGATTGGTAAGATCGATTCAACAGAAAGTTCAAATCCTTTGATAACCAGCAAATTAAGAAAAACCAACAATTAAAAAGTGATAGAATGGGAAAAGTTGAAACGAAAAAGGCCGCTCGTCCCACCGAAAAAAGTTGCCTATCACTGAGTGGTGCAGGCGCGAATTCAGCCGGCCTGTGAAAGCCGGCCGATGAAAAAGCGGCATAACTAAGTGGCAGAGACGGCAGACGACACGAACTGGAAGCCCGCAGATCAGGTCAAGAGGGTTTAGTAGCCTGTGGCTGTTCCTCAATAATATTGGTGGCACTACCGATAGAAAGAGTGATTTCAAAGAAAACCAAGATGAACTGCTATCTCAAACCATAACAGTTATACAGCCATTAAAAAAAAAACTATTTTTGTAATACACCCTCACCTTACTTTTCCCTTCCAGTGCGCCGGTACCAGCATAAATCACACTGCATGCATCGCCGTTCCGCTGCCATATATCTTTTAGGTGCTCTTCAAATCGTGAAATATATTTCCTATCAACCTGTAGACTTTCCAGCTGCGACGTCAACACCTGAAAGTATCAGGTGCAGCGTCAGTTTTGATTTATTCAACTATTAACAAAAGGTCGATGAATATTTCCTATCAACCTCATATGACTGGAGGATCAGTGGTACAATCCTAAAAATCCCAAAATGAAAACGAGCTACCTGAAATCCGATGAGAGTCTGCACCGCATTTGTTCGATCCAAGCAATCCAGACAATTTACACGAATGACGCCATTTTGCGTGCTAAAAAACAGGAAAAATTTATACTCAGCAACTCATTCATGCTACGCTAAATGTCAGTTTGGTATCCAGACAAAGCAACAGGTCGTTGGAAGACTGAGTTTTGAATTTGAATATTTATTGTAGGTAGTTCTTCACTGTAAGTGCACATCCAGGTAAGGCTGTGACAATGTACCGGGTAACTCGTGAGTTTCTGTACCTGGCGAGGGCGGAACAAAGAGGCGGTTATACTGCAGATGATTCAGCGAGCTTGCTTAATAGTAACTGACGTCTACTTCGAAGTTTCAGCAGTCAGTTCAAATTCGCTAAAAGGGAAAACAATTTTTCTTCGATTTGTGTCGATAGTAGATCGATACTGCCAAGCTTGAACATCAGAAAGTCAGGTAGTAACCAGTCTGCTTACAGAAACGAGAGCTACTGACAACTTACTTACAAAGTATTAGTGTTCGGCCACTTCTGAGTTCCCGCATGTCTCGCTCGCACAAGAAGAAACAGAGAAGAGGCTCTGATTTTTTTCATTATCAACGTAACGTATTCCTTTTATAAGCACTATATCACATTATACTTTTTTTTGGCTTGCGGCAGAATCTGGCCAAACAGTTGACTGAATTAGATACAAATGCATTTTACAGTGGTGTTTCAGAATACTAAGTCAGTCCATCTTTTCATCTGCTGCTTATGTCTCATCGTAGCGCTCCTTTGTGTAGTCAAGCACTCGAGCAGTATTGTCTGTTCGGACCGAAGCTAATATAGCTGGTGATCGGCTAGCTTTTTTCGTTCTTCCTTTTTATAAGCAGAAATGCTAAGTACAACACAACCGGGACGTTAAAAAAGACCAATGCTAAATTCAGTCAAAAAATCTATAAAAAATTCAAAAAAAAACACAAACCAAATTAAGCTTCCATTACGCCTGCAGAAGAACATACACTTCAGAATTGTCGCCTTCAACCTATCAATCAGTTTTAGGCAATTTCGTTTTTCTTCGTGATAATCAAAAGCAATGTAATCAACAGCACAGTGTGAATTTTTATAGTGCGCCTAAAAAACCTTTATTAGGCAAACACCGCAGGTCACCAAGTGTGCATCTGATACTGTCACTGAACTTTTTAAAAATGCTTCAAGCTGACAGGCTTTTACGGTTTTAATTTCATTATGCGACGTGTCTGTTTTAATTTCATGTCCACTGGTGCAATTATTGCGTTTAGGCCCTGTCATCTTGCTCCATCAGTGCGAGCACCGCTGATCCATGGGGCTATATGGTGCTAGGTGCATTACATAACAGAAAAGAATAATTCAGGTGGAGGGAGAGGGACTCGAGTGATATATCTACACTAATAT